TGTAACCTTTGATTTTTTTCTCCTAACTATCCCACAAAGCATCCTTGAAGAATATGTTAATTAGTTTTGCTTGCTTTTAAACTTTATGTACGTGCTAATGAACTGTACAGAATATTCTGCAAATCATGTCTCTGGTCGTTGGCTTAAGTTGAAGGGTGGGATCAGGGCTGACTCCCAGCCGTCCGTGCTGCAGCCAGCACAGACGGCGTGGCTCTGCGCTTTTGAACGTGTCTTTCAGTGCACTGGCACGCTCCCAGAGGGCGAATATACCTGCCAAGGGGAACTCACTGGACACAGCATGTATACATCTTTCATTTTACTGGATAATACCAAATTGTTTTAACAAGAATTGTTGTATGATTTTTCCTTTTTTTCCTACTATGAAACTATCTTTGCCAGTCCCTTGAATTTTACTAATAACACTGATGTTTACGTATGTTTACCAACCTTGGGTTTTCTCTTCTGTGAACTGATTGCTTATGTCTTTTGACCATTTAGTTCTGTTTTCCGACGACTGGTGTGAGCTCTTTGTATATTCTGGATAACAACCCTTTTTCTTAATTGTACAGGCTACAAATATCTTCTCTCAATTTTTGGCTTCTCTTTTCAAATTCTTTATAGTGTCTTTTGAAGATCAGATTTTTTTAGTATCACTGTGGTCAAATTTATCAACCTTTTATATGATTTGGAATTTTGTGTCTTAAGAAATCATATAAACATTCTCCTCCATTTTCTTCTAAAAGGTTTAAATGTTGCCTTTCATAGTTGAATCTTTAATTCATTTGGAATCCATTTCACGAGTGCTATGAGGCAGATCAACTTCATTTTTCTCTATGTGAACAGCAAATTCTCCCAGCACCACTCGCTAGCCCACCCTTTCTCCCCTGACCTGCAGCGCCAGCTCCATGTTATTCTCAAATCGGCATAAACGGCCTGGTCTGTTCCGGACTCCGCTCTGCAGCACCGGCCTGCTTGTCAGCCGGTGGGACTGCACCACACTGTCTCAGTCACTGTTCCTCCACCACGGATCTTGGTGTCTGACAGAACAACAAGTCCTCTCACACTGGATTTCTTCGGGAGTATCTCCACTGTCCTGGGCCAAGTGTTGTGCCATATATGTTTTAGAAAGAGCTTGCTAAGCTCTAAAATAAATAAATAAATAAATAATTGCCCTATTTAAATTCTAACTGACACTGTATGGGACATATAGATTAATTTGGAATAATGGCGTTTTTTACAACATTGAAGCTTCCCACCTCTCCGATTTATGCAAGTCTCCTTGAATGTCTTTCCACAGGTCTTGAGCTTCTTTTGTTGAATTCATATTAGCTACTTTATCTTTTTTGTTGCTGTGATAACTGGTCTCTTGCAAAAAAATCTCGGAGATCCTCAGACTGCATGACACAGCCCCTGTCGCGCGTCAACCCTGTGCATCGGTCACAACACGCACAGAAGGAAGTACAGACCCCTCTTCAGGCACGGAAAGCCCTGGTCACTCCCAGAACATGACAGCATGCCACTGACACACAGCTCCACCTTTAACCTACTGTCTACACTTCAGGAAGGTATAATTCTGATTTCATTCATGTTTTTCTTTTCTTCAAACCCCCTCTCATTTCTGAAAATCTGTCTTCTATTTATTGTTCTTACATAAAACCCTTTAGCTTCCTTACCCTTGATCCCAGCCACCCTACAAATCACGCAGCCTACTGTACACTCAGTGGGCCCAAACACCCATCTTCCTACCGAGCAGCCACCCTTCCTGTTACAAGTCAGTGTGCCAGCAGGCTTTCGGTGTTCCAGATGACGTTTCTGAAGGTGTGGCACTTACGTAACCTGCCTTCATACAATTTCTGCCCATCAGTCCTAGCCTTCCTTTCCGTGTCTCTATGGAATATGCATAATTTTTCATTAACAAACTGCCTTTAAAATACCTGAAGCTGAGGACAGTTTTATCATAAGAATCCTGGAATAAGTAGAAGCTAAGGAAGAGCCTGTTGTTTAAGAGACTCTTCTTGGGAATCTAATCAAACTAAGACTACGACCCTTTTTCCTGCCACAATCTCTCTAACGTGCCTGTCCGCTGCTCTCAGGCCAATGCTGCCATAACCAGCTGTGCAGCCACAGTCGTATCCCGTCCCTCCAGGGCACTCAGACACAACGTACAGAACTGCTGCTGCTCAGTGTTACTCGAGCACTGAGAAATGACAAACAGTCAACATGGCAGCAGGGCAAAACTATCTTTCACGTTCTGGAACACATGTAAAATAACAATGGACCAAAGATTGTCACAAGCCTATAGGGATTTAAGGTTTATTCAGGCTCTCGGTGAAAGAATAATGGTTATATTTGCTTTATGTGTTATGATAAGAAAAAAGCATTCAAATGTATTAAATAATAAAGGGGTGTATATAGTCTATAAAAAATTTAATGAGCTATTTAAGTGGGCTTAGATTACAGAGAGAACCAAACAAATGAAGTTGAGATATAATTTTCATGTGGTAAGTTTGTGCATGGTTTGAAACATGGTTTTCTCATTCTAAAAATGTATGATAATTTGATTTTGAGAGTCACACAATTGACCCTTGCCCTGGGGCGCTCTGTCCTAGGAGAACAGGGGTGCATGTGGGGAAGCAGCTGCTCATCGGCTCTCCCTCTCCTCCCCTTTCCTTTCTGGGCCCTCTGCTCTCCCCTTCCCTGCTCTTTCTTTCACTGTTTCACTCGAACATCACTTTCACTGATGTATACTTGATAATCCTTTTGCTTCATTGAGCTGCCTCATGGCCTGAAAGTATGCTAATCAATAAAACATCCAGTGGTTGGGAAGCGAATCAGAACTGGACAGGGTCCGGGGTGTGGAGGGGGCAGTGCAGAGTACTGAGTCTGAGGGGCAGGGACCGGCAGGACGGACAGACTGCAGCCGGTGGCTGCTCCCTGCTGCAACGAGGTGTGTGTTGGAGACACGGCTGGGGGATCCTTAAGTGCCGCCTGGTCCGTGCCTGGTCCCCTGTTTTATTTCCTTTTCTAAACCTCTAGGACTTCAGCGTTCCCTAGCAACAGAGGCGAAGGATCAATTTAGAAAAGTGCTTTCCAAAGCATTCTTATCCAGCTACTGACCAAGCCATTTTGTTTATGTGATCAAGCAATTGAAATTCAAGGAGATTTATCACTGACTGTCCTTGGCAGCAAAACTGGAAGAGCGCCTCTTGATGTGCTACCACTAATGTCTGAGATGACTGATTCTCCCTCCACCGCACAAGCACGGGCGGGTTTCTCTGCATCTCACTGGGAGCCGACAGTGTTGCCAGGGAAACTGATAATTACGTGGCAAAATGGAGGGTGTAGAAGGGAAAATGGGTGCAGAAGAAATGTCAGGTTTTGATCTAAATCAGCATGTTAATAGTGTAGTCTGTTGATCTTCTGTAGTCATATAATTTCATAAATATCATTAATTAAATGTTTGACAAGGTACTGCAGAAACGACCCAGCCTCTGGGAAGGTCCCGGTTGCTGATCGTGCCTCTGCAAATGCCATGGCAGGGCGCATGTTTACTATGAAGCACAACTGCTTTTAAGAATTAAAAAATTCAAAAACAGGGAAAAGCATGGGTTTGATTTCTAAAACCTTATTTTAGAAATCACTATTACAAAGTTCCAGATATAAAAATTATAATTCTATAAAAGCTCTAAATGCTATCTTTCGCCCCACAGACTAAGTCAGCCCTACAGCCTCAGTACACCCTTGGGTGGGGGAGAGAGAAGTGTTCCTATTTATATATAATAGGTAGTAAAACCACCCCACTGACTTGAAGGGCCTGAATGAAGTCACACAGCTCTTCAGCAGGTGGTAGTGCTGGAGCTAAAGACTCGAATTTAAGCTGCCCAGGAGGCATTATACAGAGATTATATCTTATTAAGAGAAAACCCAGAAAGAGGATATAAACTTAGTGAATGGATGCAAATCTCTAGATATCATTTTAGTTTTAAATGAAGATTTCCAATACTTTTCATTTTTAATGGCTAAGAGTTTAGTTCTAAAAGTTAACAATATGCTCTAAGTACTTTTGTATAAAAACGTCTCACTGGAGAAATTTTAATGCTCCAGTGACAGTGGGAAAGACCATTGTGTGAAGCAGCTCTGCAGCGTGCAGAGCAGCACCGCATGCCCAGGCCTGCCTGGGACCCCCGGCCCTCTCCTGGCGCTGCTGCTGCTGCTGCTGCTGCTGCTGCTGCACGGTCCTCCCATCCCTCTGCCCTGGGGCTGCCAGGGAGCTGTTTTAACCAAGAGTTCAGCATCCTCCTGTGTATTTATAATGACAAATTCTTATACATTTTCTAATTTGTATATGGACTATAGACACTGAAACATTCACTCATGTTCATACACATACAATTTATGTCTGGGTGTGTATGTGTGTGAGAAAATCGGTGATTTACTTACGGCTGGTATATGAAAAGTAGACAACCATTTATATAGAAAATATGTCCATTGTTTTGGTCTTTGGACCAAATAATAGAATGGACAGAATAAAAGAATGAGAATTATATATTAGCAAGAAAAAAGCACAAAACTTACATAGAACTTCTTAACTCAAATGAATTCCAAGAGCTGGAAGTAAGTAGTCAGCCTTCTGATGTTATGAAAAAGATCTTTAGTGGTTTAAAAATTTCAAGCCTTACTCATTAAAATAAAAGTAGTTAGGCTCAATCCAGATGGGATGAACTATCACTTTAAAGTAGTTTATTAAGTTTATCAACATTATGATGGTTTTAAAGTATTTGGCTTGTTTAAGTTGGAATTTTGTTTCCTTACATCAAAGCATTTATTTTTCATATAAGAGAAGCACTAAATAATAAATTCTTATTTTGATAAAGCTTTTCTTCTTCCCCATGGCAGGAAGGCATTTTCAGCTTTTAAATCTCTGGATAAGAAAAGGAATGTAAAGCCACATTTTTACAGGCATTAAAAACAATGTTTGTGGGCAGGCCTTGACAACAAACCTTGACTCAGGCCATCTTGACAAGACATCTGCTTGACGTCCAAGTTCTCCAGGGTATCTGCTTTAGAGACTTCACCAAGAGACGTTCTTCTCTCGAAGATGTTGTTGTTATTATTTACTTGAGTCCCATTTTGCTTCAGCAGCCTGAACACCTCAGCTTCCAAATCCCTAATCTAAGGGGAAAAAAATCCATTTGTAAAGCTCTAAACCAGCACTTCTCTCCAAGTACCAGGCAAATCTATCCCATTATTAAGGGGCTTTGATCACATAACTCACCCGTACTTGTAGGCCTTGCACTTCCACAACGTGAGCTTTTTCCAAATCTTCTATTTTCTTTCTTTCTGCTTCCTGTCTCTTGATGAAATCAAGTTCTCTTAAGAAGAAAATAATAGGTCTGATTGCATCAAACACTCAAAAAATGAGAAAACATATGGAAGTTCTTATCGGAAACAATAAACTGCAGTGGTAGAATAAATAGAGCTATTTAAAGAAATAAAATTCAGTCACAGTTAGAGGAAAGGTATATAGCAGTGAAAGCAAGTAAAACATTTTAATGGATCACAAAGAAAATAAAATTGCTTTGATTGTACTTACTATGCTTTTCATTTGTATCTCCTGATTCTAGAGCACCCACACATCTTTAGACAGGAGCTAATAAACTAATGACCCACCTTGAGCAGTTTGGTGGAGATAATTACATGCCAGGTAGATGTAATTCTCCATGTACAAAGTAATATATCTAGTAAACTGATGGAACTGAATGGGGATAGATAATTATAAGATGGCTTCCTATGAATGACAGTGGAAAAGGGCTGGGAGGGTCAGAAGAGCTGAGGGGGAGCTGTCACTCACACAACTGAGGATAATCGGGGAGAAGGAGAAACATCTCCACTTTGAGAACCTGGAATATAGAGTGCAAATTTAGCAAAACTTATTATAAAGTTATTACATTAAATAGAGTTTATGATTATGTTTGGCAAGAAAAATTAAAATAGTGATGTGCTGAATTAACAGCTATGAAGAGCAATTTCCCCCCTTCAAACTTTTGTAGATTATAATTTCCATTTTATTTTATTTATTTAAAAAATTTTTAAAACATCACTGTGTGGTTGCCTCTCGTGCATGCCCTACCGGGGGCCTGGTCTGCAAGCCACGCATGTGCCCCGACTGGGAATTGAACTGGCGACCCTTTGGTTCACAGGCTGGCATTCAATCCACTGAGCCACACCAGCCAGGGCTTATTTTTTAATTAAAATCTTCAAATGCCCTAAAATTCAGTGTGTTAAGAGTTGTGTCAGTTCCCATCTGTCTTTTTTTAACTTTGTTGTTTTTATATTTTATTTCTATAGCATTTTCTTTTATATATTGAAGGCGTGGCGTGGCCAGAAGAGATACTGACATTTCTTTTTATTGTTCTAGTTAGCCAGAAGCAACTGACGAAAATATCCAATAAAAATCTCCTTGGTCGGTCTCCCTGAAATTATACCAACATCCAACAGATGGAGGCAAAGCAGCATTAGCTCAGAAAGAGCTGTTGAAATTCAACAGCAGAATGTGTGGTGATGGTCTCTCTTACCACTGGGAAATGGCAGGGCATGGGGTCTTGCTAGTCAATATTTATTCTGTCTGCCATGGGAAAATTCCGCAGTTACTGATTATAAGAACAGGGACAGAAACGGCCTCGGCAAGGCCCCAACTGCTGCTTTGCACATACCGTCTTGCTCCTGAATCACAGGGATGTTTCCAAAAGGAGAGAGATTCAAATGTTTTAACAGTTCCTATTAATGATTAATGAGCCCAAGAAAATTTCATGATGTAACTGGTTTCCAAAAAAATGATACAATAAACAAAACATAATCTCCTATGAAAAAAAGAACAGCAGTGCTTTCCAAAACTTAGTCTTTATTTTTGGCTTTAACTATGCTTCTTACAGTGGTGATTCAGGGGATCTTTTCTATTCCACTAGACATTAAAAAATTACTGGATATAAACCTTCTTTACATGCACACAAGTATCCTTTGGTCATTAGAAGCTGCTTACTTCTGTTGGAAGTCCTTGATCAGCTTCTTGGCCTTGTTGTACTTCTTTTCCAAGGCCTGGTACTGGCTCTGCGTCTCTTTGAGGTGCTCGTTAACCGTGTGGCACAGCGTCTGAGCCTCGATCCAGTAGCTCTCCAGCTTCAACATCCTCTCTTTATTCTCCTCGATATTCTGCTGGAGTTGAGTTTTCTCTAGTTCCCACCTCACTTTCTCGTTTTCTGCTGCTTGAAGCTGGTTTAAAAACATGTCAGGGCAAAGAGAATCTGGGTACTTTTCTAACAAAAATCCCTCACATTTTTATACCATGTTTTTTATTGGATTCAATGGTTACATACACTCAATCACCAAACACCTTGAGAGGAGGGGAGCAGGCATTGCTTTCATTATTTCATAGATTACAAAATAGAAGCCTTGCAAAGGAAAATGCTTCGTCCAAGTTCACACAGCGGATAAACAACAACATGGGGGTTTGACTCCAACTCCCAGTATCTTTCCATCACAGTAAGTGGTGTGAAATTCCGGCAGCAGTAAAAAATGTTTCAGAGTCTGACTAACCCTAGCTAATGCATTTCCACAGGTGTTTCTTTAGAGATTTAAAACACACACACACACACACACACCTGTAATTATATGTAAAAAGAGTTAAGTGGAAAGGGAGGGAAGGGAGATGAGCATGGAGGAGAGAGAGGCAGAAGCACAACTGGCTGATTGGTTGGCAGGGGGAGGGTTCTGGAGCCATGAGGTTTAAACCTGAATCCCAGCTCCGCCACTATTGGCTTTGTTTACATTTAATGTACTTTATTTTTAAAATTATATTTGATTGATCATGCTATCACAGTTGTCCCAATTTTTCCCCTTTTCCTCCTCCACCCAGCACCCCCACTCCCTCAGGCCATCCCCACAGCATTGTTCATGTTCATGGGTCATGTGCAGGTTCTCTGGCTGCTCCATTTCCCATGCTGTGCTTTACATTCCTGTGGCTATTCTGTGACTATCCGTACTTAACTCCCTCACTTCTTTTTTTAATGACCGGTAATTATTTTTTTCAATTATGGTTTACGTTCAATTTTATTCTGTGTTAGCTTCAGATGTGCAGCAAAGTGGTTAGAAAATCATGAACTTTACAAGTGCCTCACCCATTCCATGATTCAAGCACCTGTCTGGCCCCCTATACTCAGCCATCCCGATGCCACTGTTGACCTTTAAACCTTGGGCAAGTAACCTAAGTTCTCTACCATCAGTGTGCTTGGAACAGCTCCTTGTGCATAATAACAATCTGATGAATGTTAGTTACTTTTGTTTTTATTCCTTTTGATAATATTATCACATCCTTTATTTCAATCGACAGGAGCATGGTTTCTAGCTCATTATTTTGCTGGTAGTGTTCTGAGCCTTATAAACGCCAATCTTTATAAAAGTATAAAAGATAGTGTAAATAAACAAATAAATTATTGCAAATTAATTTAAATTCCTCCAATGGAAGAGAAAGGCAGCTTCTTGTGGTTTCTACTTCCAGGGACTGTGAAGAACAGATAATAAACTAGTCCTACCCCCTCATTTCTACAGGACATCAAGGTTGATTCTTTAGGTGAGGAGTCCAAGGTCATTTGTTCACAATAATGATCTGACCTTTAAACTAGTGCTTCATCTGTTTCACATGCCTTTTATAAGGTTCAAAAGAATGCTGAGTATTATAAACTATCAATTTTCAAAAACTAAGACATCCCCAGATTACACAGCATTCAACAAATAAAAAACTATGTTTTATGCATATTTTAAACTAAATATATTGCAAAACAGAGTACAAAGTAAATAATAGTCAAAACATTTCCAAACTAAAAATTGTGTTATCAACATGGACATAAAGAGTTGCAGTAAGGTAAGCTAATCTATGGAAATTATATGCCAATATAATAATGAGAAAAATATAAATACTAACTCATAGGATTTCTAAATTTAATGCTTATAGTCAAAAAATATAAGCTTTCTTAAAGCACATACAATCACAGGGGAATCTTCTACCTAATTGTAACCAACAATTAAAAAAATACTTCTGCTCTTCCATTCTATGCCAAGAAACAATGGCAACTTAAAATGGGCCTGGGATTTTACTGCACCTTTTATTAAACACTGTTTTGCACTCAAGCTGTGTATTTACCAACCACTATTGATTTAAAAATTATTCACAGAGCCTGGCTGATACCATGAATGATATAGAGACATGTTTTGACTAACGAGCTACAGAAATATTAGCTGGGAATACCATTTAACCAAAATAGCCTTGCAAACTTATCTCCATCTAAAACACAGGGAAAAGCCATGACAAGTGTTCAGTGTGAACAGGAAAACAGGTCGTCAGTGGTGGGGAAGGAATTATGTCTTAATTTTTAGAAGATCACAAAAACAATGAAGAATACCGTTTTAAAAGTAATTCAAAAGATAGTTTTAAATCTCTGAAATTACACACTTGACAAAACTAGACACAATTTTAGGAATTGATAAGAACCTTACAACTCACCAGTAAAAATGCCCTTTTGAATCTGGTATTATATAGAGACTAAAAACACATAAAACCTTTCATCATGACCTGTTTTCCCCACCACACACATTTAAATGTGAACTAAATGACTAAAAATTTCCAGTAACATCTGGCACCAACAAACAATTATTCATATATTAAATTGCATGATATTTAATTAGAAATTGGAATTTTTCTATATAAAATAATTAATGTACTATGTTAAAATATATTGTTTCTGATAAATAAGTAAAAAAACAAATGAATAAACCTACTTAAAATAAGATAAAGAGAAAGAGATACAGAATAATAGCTTCTGCCTAAGGAATTAGTGGTCAAAATGTAATTCAGTGTGTGAACCATTAAATATACCTTTAGGGGAAAGCTCGGAGAGAACCACATATGTGTAAACATGTAAACATGTATTTGTAAAATGTTGTATGACTTTCCCTAAGGGGCATAGTGCTGCTCATCCTCCAGGGTGTGCGTTCTTACTCTCAGGCTCCTCTGTGCATCCAACAGCGGAAATGAGTCTGACATTTGCATTCTTTCAAATGTACCTGAACGAACCCTTTATTCCTAGGGCTGACTTTATTCATGGCCTCCAAAGTTTAAAAGGTACTGTTCAAACACCATGTATTGATTGGTGCTTACCTTGTTCTTCAATTTTTGAATCTCTGCTTCTGTAACTGCATGTTTGATTTGCAACTGAAAATTGAAAAGAAAAATCAGAACTAAGAAAGTGCATCTATAATTTTCAAGCCCCAGACAATAAAAGAATATCGTGTTACACAGCAGAAACCCTAGGAAAGTGCTGCAATGCAGCAGGTTGTAAATTAAAATGTCTAGTGTGTAAAATGACTCACTAGGTACAAAGTAATTATACGCAGGGTCTATGGCCCACACTCCCTAACATCGGATTAAGTTACAAATTTAATTGCTCAGGGACCAAAGGGAAGAAAACATTTTTTTTGCCCCCTTTGCAGCTCTTTCTTTATAATTTCAGTGCCAAGGAATTGTTTTCTTGAAAAGCTTCAACCAGTAAGTCGAGCTAGTGGCAATGTGAAGATTTGATTCCGAGTCTGGAAGAAAGGTGGCGCTGTGGCACCGCGAGTCACTAGGCTGAGCAGCTCTTTACAGCTCAGGCTGTCAGCAGAGGGGCGATGCAGTTCCAGGTCGAAATCCCTGTTTATTTTTTAATTGCAGGAAAGGTAAAGGTCTAGATTTCCGTCCTCCAAAATATCTACTTATGTTGAGGACCTGGGCCCCCAAAAGCGACAGCCACAGTTTATTAGTACGACAGCACACCCCCACCACCCCCATTTACATCTGTTTTGCTTTACCTTCCCTGCACTCATTTTATCTGCGAGGGAAGGGGAAAACGAAATATTCCTATCTTTCAGGCATAAATAAATACACCAACATTTGCGGAAAACAATATGTGGGTTGGCAATCTCCTCTCTGAACTCTTTGGGGCCACATGATTTTGGAATTCATAATTCTCCCAATCTCTGAAAGGTAGAAAGATGTGTTTTCCATAAATGGCATTTTACCCACAACAGGGTCGGGGGAGGAGGCACTCTGATCAAACACACGAATGTTTTTGCATAGGACTATTTCCACTAAGTGAAGCACACAGAAATTGTAAATAATCTCCTGTCAGCTTTAGTCGTTTTTGCCCCCAAGTGAGTTTCCCACAAAATTGTTTTTTGAAATCTGGTGTCAGACCATTTTGGATTTAAGATTGAACAAGAGGGACTGTAAACCTCCAATATTACTGTAATCAAAAAAGTCTAAGGTTTTCTTATCAGAAAAAGGAGTCGGCTGATGGCAGGTTAGAAACGTGAGCCTCTGGAGATCACGGTGCCTCAGAAGCCTTGGCTCTCTCTGATTTGTGCCCTGCTGTCTCCCTGGTCTTTACCTGGCTACCAGTTGATTTAACACCCTTAGGTGCCAATGAATAAAAGCTCAGCCCTGAGGGCCCCCAAGCTCTTTGCCAAATGCTCTCTCCTTGGTAATTTCAGGGCTCCTGTTCTGTTTCAAGCCCTGGGGTCCACACAGCTGCAGGTCTGATCCTGCTCTCCTTCCCTCATGACATGCTTAAATCTGACTCTGTCCCACTCACAGCACTCATCTTGCCCATGCAGCTCTTGCTCTTCTCGCCCTCACTGGTTCCAGGGGCCTCTGCACTCTCTCAGTCTCCACAGAGGAAGCATCCCCAACCGGATGACTCACTGGGACCTGACAGTGGCTGGCAGCCCAGTCTGACACGCTCGAGTGGCCTCACGACTGCAGAATCACCCGTCCTCACACTTCTGGACTCACTCTGGATACGGGAAACCAGGGCTCATAGCCGAGAACTGACCTGGTCTAGCTCTCACAGTGAACTGCTATTAAAACCAGGACTTGGAACCTTGATCTTTGGTTCCTGATCCAGGGCCATTTTCCTCAGAAAATAAGGATTAATTCGACAGGCATTTATGAAAGAGCTGTTACATGCAAGCTCATGTGAAAATAACTCTTTCTCCTTCTAATAAATATCAGTGTTAACCTACCCTACCAATATAAAATAACAAACTAAAATGGCAAAAGTACTTAGATAGTAGAATCAATACATTATTTATATATAAACATAAATATATGCATGCATGTGCACATACATACATACACACATATATGGCTATAAGGAATTCTTTTCCGTGGAGATCTTGCACTTCAGAGTGAATACACTTGGGCACCCGGCAAGTCCAAGTGCCTAGGTGACTCTGGAGAATCTGCAATTATTATTGACAAGAAGATCAACTCCTTTCTCTTTCTGCTGTGTGCCAAGTGTAAAGAGTACAGCAGGTCCTCAATGTGCATTTTGTTGTTGAACGGTGTTTCATTATAATGTTGATGAGATATTGAACTTAACTCTTATTTTTTTCAAATAGCCTGTGGTAAGGTTGTTCTAATTACACAAGCTTTTTCCCCAGTTCCAAGAGCTTGTCTATGACTTGAATTCATCTCAGGCCTATCATGTACCAGTTACACGGTGTTGGAAAATTACTTAACCTCTCTTACCTTCACTTTCCTCTCCTGTAAAATGCAGTTCCTCATAGGTCTTAACCCTCCTTATTGAAAGATTAAATGAGATAACCCACATAAAGCTTTTAGCACAGTGGTTAGCAGAGAATCAGCCTTCTGTAAAGTTAGCCAAGATTAAGAAAGACTAATCAGTAGAACTCAAATATAATTACTTCTCAGTTAAAAGTGCTTAATGCTATAAAAGGTCACACATGAAATAAAACAAACACCTCTGGTTCTATTGGAATAACAGCAAGAAATCAAAAGGGCAGATTTTACAATGAACGCTGCAACTCTGGGGAAGTGCCAGATTTTATTTTCTCAGTGGTTAAGTCCCTATAGGGTAACCAAGCACGCGGCACACAACTTGCTGAGATTCTGGGTTTTCTTTGTTCCATTACCGTGACCTCTAGCAAGCTGCTTCACTGGGCCCCTGTTTCCTGTATGAAAAATGAGAGCGCTAGATGGGAGGAACTACAAGGCCCATGCAAGTACTACAGGTGTGACATTCACGCAGTGGAAGCCTGGAAATGGTTGTCATGGTTGCAGTCTAGAAATTCTTGTCCAAAGCCAGCATTTTTATCCCTATGAATGCATATGCCAGATTAATCTACTGATGTGTGGGACAAACTTAGGTAAAAACCGTCCAACAGACAAGCTGGTCTTCAGTTACCCCACCCCTCCTATCTCACCAAAACGGGTAACAGAAGAGAACTGAACTCATGAGCAGAGCACTGATAAAAGTGTGGAGTGTTCCTAAGTGCAGCCAAATTCTTCAGATACAGGAGGGAAGAATGAAGTGTGTAAATTGAGACATTATTCGGAAGAAACACAAAAGTTTTCATGCAAAGTATTCTTAGTACTCAGAAGGCCTAAATTATAATATGTGATTCTTGTAATTCTTATGGATATTAAAAGAACTTCTACAAATTCACCAGTATTAACAGCAAAATAAATCAACTGACCTCTTTCATTTTATAGAGAAAAAAATGGTGTTTCAGTAGCTCCAGTTGCAGAGCTAACAGGTCAAAGCCTGGTTTTATAAATTTCAGTCCATGGCTTTTTGCACTGACACTAAATTTCTTACATGACCCTTTCTCTTTTTTTTATCATCTCCGTTAGCATTGCACATGAACCTGTGAGGGAAGCAAGCCAGGCACTGTCCCTCTCACGGATCACGGATCACGTGGGGAAGGAGGCTCAGGGAAGTCACATGGCCTCTTCTAGCTCCAGCAGACGCAGGGGGTCTGATGCCCCTGGCCCTCTTCTTCCCCTCGTGGCTCACGTCATCTGAACCAGCTCTGGATGCGTTTTTCACTGAAACCTCACATAAACCCCGAGGCACACGTCACGGTTGTCACCTCCCAGAGGAGAAAGGATTACTCCGTCTGGAAGCCATGGACACTCGCTCATGCTGGTCTCTGAGCATTCTGACACTGAATACAAAGTGGTGCCCAGCCAGCTGCTGCTATTACTTATGGAACTTTGGAAGAAATACCTGCCTCTTTATTCAACCAGCATTTACTGAAGGAGACTGTGTGCCAGGTGCTGTACTACTCACTCAGGATTTAAGAATGTGACATGGACTTGGCCTTTAAGACACTTAATTAAAGGGAGGTTAATAAACACAACCTCCTGAGAGAAGTTCTCAGATCATCCTGAGAGAAACACCAGGGAAACCTGCTCCTAGATGGCCCGATTAGTCTATTGTTCCTATAACCAGGCCACATGATGTTTGGCTTTGGCCTATTTGTCCTGTCTCCACCTACAGACCCCACTTTCCAGGCAAAGTCAGCACAATGGGCCTGAAATACCTCCATGAGGAAGAGAAAATCACTCTTCAAAGAGGTGAAGCCACTAACAAGAGAAGCACAGTTGGCAACAGGTTAAGTTTTCTTATTCTAGAGCAGTTCTCCTTCATGTCCAATAGCCTTTCCAGAGTCACGTCCAAGGGTTCGCACATCACCCCAAGACTGGTCCTGTGGACTCACTACAGGCCGAGGAGGGCAGCAGGACTGGTTCGTAGAAACAGAGCATGAATAACCTGTTGGAACTTTTGGCCTTTGGAGAATCTGGGATTGGACAAAAGAACTAGGAAGGGAGGATGTAAGCAAAATCCCAGGTCAGTGTGTTTCAACTTATAAGACCAGTCTCCCATCTCTTCTGTCATCTTGAACATTAGCGCCACAGAGAGCCACCCCAGGATTACAGAACAACTAAACACTCGCACCCCTACAGAGAACAGTGGCTCTCAGGTAACAGTCTGCATGTGTACCTGCTGGGTATACTTTCTGCCTATTTCTCTCAACCAGAGGAACATGTGCTCCTATCACAGACTCAATATAATCCAAATGTAACTGCACTAGAAAGAGAAACATCCTTATAAATTAACATAAATAATATGATTGAACTTTTGCATTGTCTTCACTTATCTTGTGGAAGCATTATGGGAAAGATAATTTTTTAAGTGAAAAATATTATCTTTGCAGGCAAGCTTTTAGGAGAGCTCAGGTAGTGGAGATTTTGCGAGCACATTAAGAGCAACATTCTCTGCTCTTATGTTAGGACAAAACAGTAACCGGTATACTTTATGATGGCATTTCAGCATTGGAATGACAATTTTTACAATTATCTTTGGGATT